CATCAGTCATGGAGAGGAGGGAACAAGGAGAGGACAGTAGAGAGGGGGGACGGGTGCAGGGAGGGTGCTAGTTTAGAAGATGCTCTCTGAAGAGCAGGGTCTTCAGGAGTTTCTTGAAAATTGAAAAGGAAGCTCCTGTTCTGGTAGTGCTTGGAAGGTCATTCCACATTTGTGGAACGATGGATGAGAAGAGTCTGGATGGTCCTGAGCGTGGTGTAGGCACCGCTAGCCGACCATCCTGTGATGACCGGAGCGGCCGGGCCGAGACGTAAGCCTTTGTAAGAGGATTCAGGTAGATGGGAGCCGTACCATCTCGGACTTTGTACGCGACTTTATACTAGTGATCAAGTCCATACAGCATTAAAATGGATCATGTAGAGATGTTTGAATGAAATTAGGATTTTCTTTACCTAATCTGGAGACCTGGAATGGACCATATGACTTATTTTGATGTCCCGATATATAAAATAAAACTGGGTATCTTGAAATTCAGACATTTTGCAGCTGAATAAGAGTGTTTTGGCTTTTTAATTTCTAGTTTGGAGCACTGGGTTGGAATCAAAGGCACTGCTTATGATTGGTTTAAAGATGGAAGTATGCCGTTAGCCTGAGTCACTTTACTTCCCCGGTCACTCCTGCTGGTTGTGGAGTTCCACAGGGCTCAGTTTTAGATCTCCTGCTGTTGCTACCTCCTGGGCTTACATTTCATTAATACAACATGCCCCTCCATTGCTGACTGATGACACTCAGGTTTGCCGTCAAGAAAAAAAAAACCCTCCTCTTCCATCAAGCCTCTGTTAGTGTAAATTATGTAAAATCTTGGACATCACACAACTTTCTTAGACAAATTAATACAAAACTGAGATCATCGTCTTTGGCCCCAGTGGTGCTCATCCGGATATCGGCACATTAGAACCTTTTAGGAGTTCAGTGGCGAAGGGTCTGAGGGGCTTTTAGATTCACATTTAAACTTTGAGAGACCTAAAAGTCATGAAAGAGCTTTTTAAAACCTTTAGGTTTAAGGGGGCGTTTTTATCGTTTCATTTTATTTTGTACTGCGTTCTGGTCAACGCAAGTTATGTAAATGCGCTACATAAATGAAGCCGAGTGCTGTACCATCGGGGGGCAGCTGACTCGAGAACTCAGCAGGCAGGGTGAGCAGCGCGTAGTCCCGCAGCATGGCCAGCCAGAGGCGGGAGAGAGAAGGCAGCTCTGGCTGCACTAAAGTAATGAGACTATCAGGAGGAAGAACATCGGTGCCCAGGTCATCCTCATCTTCATCCTCGTCTCCTCTTCTGAGCGGTTTGGCGGGCTTGGACTCTGCTTCTTTCTTGATCTTCATCGCCACCACGTACACCTGAATAGGGCAACCGAGAAGCACGATCAGGTATGGTACATCCACCACGAACGGAGCGATAACGAGGAACGCTCTAATTGTCCTGAAGCTCACCTCAGCCCATGCCTTCAGCACGGCCAGTTTCTCCATAGTGGTGGCGCTCTCGCTGTACAGCTGACTGGAGGAGCCCTTCCCAGCCTGCACCTTGTCCAGCGATGACACGAGTAAGTTGTGTACCCGTCGCAAGTCGTTAAGGTCACTGACAACGCCGCTGCCGATCCATGTGCTGCACACCTTTGGACACAAAGAGCACCAATAAACGGTGTCAACTTGTCGAGAAGAAGAAAAAGAAAATGTGTCCTTCAAATAACAACATACTTGATTTTATTTATGTGTGGACTCAGGATTAAGTAAAGCATCTTACCTGGCACGCCTTAGCTGTAATGTCAGACGGTGTATCAGGTGAAAATGCCGGTCTGAGAGCAGCTCCAACCTAAATGCACAAAGTTTGCATCAAGTTCAGTCGTCCTCCTCCCACTTTTTCTGTGACTCTGTGCATCACAATGTTGGGATGTTTAAACTCACATTAGCCTGGTACTGCTCCAGGATAACATGTCCTGGGAATTCAGGCTCCGGCACAGACGCAAATTTCTTAATGATGTCCTCCAGGGCCTGCAGACCGGCCATCCTCAGCTGGTTACTGTGGTCTGTGGCTGCCATGAAGGCCATACGGATGAGGTCAGACAAATGGAGCACCAGCAGATCCCCTGGAGAGATGGAGAAGGAAGGAAAAACAGATGTATAAAACTCAGAGGAAACACTGATGATATTAAATTAAAATACATATCTGATCAGCCTGGTTAAAGTTAATGTTTCTCTCTTCGTTTATTATCGGATTTCCGCAGAAAGCCGATGATTTTATCATCCCCTCCTGGATGAAGGATCAGCTTTCTGCGGCCGCAGAGCTTCAAAAGAAACCAAATATTGACTTTAAGGCTGGGATCCAACTGAACTTCTGCTGAACGAAACCTTTCAAAGGATCAGTTCACCACTTTTATTTTTATTTTTATTACAGCTGTCGATATTAAATGCCACGCTCTAACTGTTAAACCTGCAGTTAGCTCGTTTCAGATAAGCTTATATGAATACAGGCTCCTCCAGCTGTAGCAAAACAGTGCTTACTCAGCTCTTGTTTTGTTCTGCCTTCAAACCAAAACACACACGGATCAGCTGATCCGAGAACAGCCTGGAGGCAGCAAGAACATTTAAGGGATGCTAAAAACTTCAAGAAACCAGTTCCAAACTCAGAGTGAAGTACCTTTGGGATTCTTGGCCTGTGCAGAGCGGGCAGCTGCCAGGTCAAAGTGTGTTCTGTCAGAATTCTCGCATAGCAGAATGATCCGACACAAGCAGTCTGCAGCAAACACCCGCGTCACCCAGCGAGGCGCCACAGAGGGCTTGGACTTCTCATCGTCCCCCAGGCCTGTGAACATGGTGTCATCGTCGATCTCGTCTTTCTTCTCAGAGTCCTCATCTTTTTCCACCTCGAAAGCAACGGCTCCCCCTACATCTGAAAGAGAGGGGCGGACACTGTTACAGCACAGAGACCCGAAGCACAGGGTTTGATTGGAGTGGTTCTGCCGGTTTACCTGTAGTTGCTGCGAGGACATCTTTGCAGAGTTTGAGCCAATGAGAAAGTTTCTCCACAGCGAGAGACGACAGCATGTGGCCCAGTGTGTCGTGGATGTCGGAACACAACTTCCTGTCCGTTTCCCGATCCAGCATACCGAAGAGAACGCCCTCCAGACCGGTTTCTGTGATGTTCAGATCTGAACCAAGAACCAAGTCAACATGGAAAAGGTCACGGCATCTCGCTGGCGTTAGTCATTCAGACAGAACCAACTCCATCTGGGCTGTGAGTGAAACTCACTGATTGTGCCGTCTTTGCCGTCTCCCGCTCTCTTTGCCAGGCTCATGGCGTACTCGCAGACCTCTGCCGCTTCCCTCTGAGCGAGCTGTCTGAGGCAGGCCACAGCAGCGCGGCGCAGCAGCAGGTGAGAGCTACACAGGTGCACCTGCAGGGATCCCACAGCAAAAAACACAAGTCGCAACGGCACAAATCGTATGCACACACGGTTCTAAACGCATGTCTTACACAGAGACAGGGCACCAGGCTGGACAGGTTCACGTGTCGGGGAGCAAACATGTGCAGCTGCTGCAGACAAGAGATGGCAGCAGCCTGGACCAGCGAGTCAGAGTGGTCCTGCATTATGGCACAACCAACCAGGCATGACGAGCGGATGGTGGAAACAGTGGCTCCGTTTCCTAGATGAGATTCATCAGAAACACAGAAACAACTCTTTTTAGTCGTTTAGGAGTTGGACGCGCCCCCTAGTGTTCACCCGTCACCTGTAGGTCTTGTAAATGAAAACCGTGATTTGAGAGCGCGAGTTTTTTCACACCCAAGTTTACGATGAGGTAAAAAAGTGCCCTGGGTTGTTTCTCCTTTCAGTAGCAAACGCTCCTCTTGGGAGGAGTCAAGCACAGACAGGAGCAACGCTTCCTGTTAGGCAGCAAATCTTTACGATGCTTAGAGAACATGCAAGAATCAGATTTATTAACTTATAAAACCTCCATTAAAACCTGCCTTTTAACCACGACGGAAACATGGCGGCTTGAGAAAGGTGGATCGGTGAAGGATCTAAAACACAACCGAAGTAAAGCCCGTTTCCGTTTACAGGCAGAAATGTTGAAGCAAGACGTTGAAAAGAGTTTAAAGCATCCTAAAACTTCCCCTTTTCTTCTACGTTCTCAGGGTTTTCTGTGGGTATTAATGAGAACAACACTTCAGACGGCTCACTAACTCCTTCCACCGCCTCCTGCTGGGTGAGAAATGCTGAGCGTAGCTTTTGAAGTTGGTCACTGTTACCCTGTAGTTCTGGTCCCACGGTGGTGATGAGCGCTCCCAGGCAGCGACCCAAACACTGGTGAACCTCTGTGTGAGAAGGAGGCACGGTGAGGAGCAGGGTGAGGACCAGAGAGAGGGTGGGCTCCACGTAGCCCCGGTACATGGGACCACTAGAGTCCACAATCAGAGCCAAAGAGTGCAGAGACCACGTCTGGTTATAAAATAAATATAGAAAAAGATTTATTGAGATTTTAGTTCTCAGACAAGTAAGACAAATCCAAATAAACCCTCAAGTTGATTTTCCGTCCACTCCTGAGTTATTCCCTGTACCTGAACCTCGTGAGAGGAGCCATCCTGGGCGAGAGCCAACAGGATGCTGACGCTGGTCTTTAGATGCTGACCAGAACCGATTCCTCCAACGTATCGATGCAGGCAGCCAAGAGCCAACGAATGACCCGTCCTAGAAACCACGTCACGGGCCGACTTCAGCCTGTAGGAGGAAGTGGATGCAATAATAACGACCAGGAATCGTTTTCCTGAACAAACTTCTATTTTTACTATAATTATGCATAAACAGAAACATGCTCACTTGTCAAAGCTGGTCTGAGCCATTCTGGCGATGAAGGTGGCCTCTCCCACCACCTGAGCCATCCGACCCAAGGCCTCTCCAGCAGCACAGCGCAGAATGGGATTGGGATTGTCCAAAGCTCCCATCACCAGGGCCAGGGCCGACTTGCGTACCTCCTCTGGGCCCAGAGTGCTCTTGTTCTCAGCCAGACCCTTCAGTGTGTAATAAAGCTCGACATTACTACCAACCTCACACGACCTCAGTCGTTTGCCGCCTTACCTTGAGGGCGCTGAGCACAGCAGTGAAGATGTTCAGCTGGACGGCCTGCTGGCGAACTCCCTTAGCCTGCTTTATACACTCGGCAAAGTGGTCCAGCATCTGCAGCCTGAGTCACACACAAAGTCAACTTGGATGTAGTTTAGGTGCAGAAAAACTTTTTTCAGAGCAACAACCGCAGTGGCCACCTGTGTTTAAAGGAGACATGAGGGAAAACCACTCCAAAGAGAGCCACCGAAGCATCGATGACCGACACGCCCAGAGGAAGAGGACCTGGGATGGCCTCACCGACAGGAATTCGCAGGTAGATCGATGAGGGGTCGTGTTCCAGAGCTCCGCTGCCAGACGCGCTGTTGGGCTGCAGCTGTTCAGAACAAATCCAAAACTATTAAATACCCAAAGAAAGCGCACGAAAACTGCAGTTAAACATTTAAAAGAAGAGAAGGAGAATTCCTATCATTCTAACCTGATCCTCAATAGATTTGTGGTCCGTTTCCTGCAGCCAGGAGCCCATGAGCACACTGTCGTCATAGTGACACAAAGAGCGCAACAAAGAGGTGGTGGTGTTGGCCGAGTTGTCAGTGAGAGTGAACTCCGCCACCAGCTCCCTCAGGAGGGCGTTGAAGCTCCCTAAACAGGACGGAGTATGGAGTTCTGAAGACTTCACGTGAATGATGCAACAGCAACGGCGAGGTCGACGTGTTACCTTCGTATGTTTTAGGAGGCAGCAGAGCCAGGATGTCGTACAACCGGAGTCTCACCATCGCTGCACTGGCCTTCAGGTGAGCACCGTGGACCTTAATGATGGCAGGAACGCTGAGGAACAAAATACAAACATTACAACCTTGTTTTGCTACGTTTTTAGCAGTTAAAGAAACACTTGCTATGTTTTAGGGGTAAACTGATATAACGGTCGGCCGATAGGACTTCTGAGCAAAGCCGATTTAAAATCAGGCACATCTCCAGGCAGCCTGGTGCTGCTGCAGTCTTTAACTTAAATACATATTTATGTTTCTGAGTAACATCTACATAATAAAAGCTCTAATAATTAGTTTCAACTAAAATTATTTTATTGACCAGTTTTGAATATTCAAAACTTGTTCAGTTCATTGATTTAATTACCTTTAGTTAGACGTCACTGAACAGAGCACAGAATCAAGATTTAGCTCTTGGTTAAATTTAAGTATCTTTCTGGAGTTTTCCCCCTTTCAGAGATGACGTACGATTTTTCTGAAATCCGTAAAAGTGATCATCTGATCATGCACCGTGATACAATGGAAGCAATAGGTCTTTTTTTTTTTTGCTAAGCACGCCCCCTGCCCCTCAGAGCTCCGTCCGGAAACTGAGCGCAGACCAGAACTAACCAAGACTTTTCACAGACAAGTCTTAAAAATATAAATATATGAAAACACAACATGACATGAGAATAATACCTGTAAAACAACGTGTTTTAGCTCCGTTTGTCAGCTGCAGAAGCACATTTATAAACAAGAAACATGAAGTCGCCATCTTAAAAAAAACGGGAGAAATTATTTGTGTGATATGCTCGTCAGCCAAATACTCCGGAAAGAGTAAGTGTTCAAAAGCTGAACTGAAAAAGGGAACTGCTAGACTTTATACGAGCTACCACCACCACCCAAGTGCCTCTCTGAACCACAAAGTTGCTTAGTGCAGATTCTGGCCAGAAGGAAGAAGAAGAAGAAAATATCATTTCTAAAGCGCCTCTCAAGATAAAAATCACGAGGCGCTTCACAAAAACAAAAAATGTAAAAATATAAAAAAGCATTTACAAAATGTTTAAAAATATATTAAAGTGAGCAAAAATAGACGATTGTGATTAAAAAAATGTTAAGAGAGAGAGTGAATAGGAAAGAGGGAAATCAGTGGATCCTGAGGAAGGTGGAATAGGTGGGGAGAGCAGAATAAAGAGAGAGAGGTGAAGAAGGTCATACAAAAGCCAGCTTGAACAAGTGAGTCTTCAGCTGCTTTTTAAAGGAGACCACTGAGTCCACTGATCTCAGGCTCAGGGGGAGAGAGGTCCAGAGTCTGGGGGCCACAGCAGCAGATGATCTGTCACCTTTGACCTTTAGCCTGGTGCTGCACAACCAGTAGGCTTTGATCACTGGACCTCAGGGACCTGCTGGGGGTGTAGGGACTAAGAAGATCACCAATGTAAGATGGTGCTTGTCCATGTAAGGCCCTATAGACCAGAACCAGGATCTTGAAATGAACCCTGAAGTTGACTGGCAGCCAGTGAAGCTGGAGGAGAAGCGGGGCAGTGCGTGACGACTAATGGGACTTGAACTTAACTAAAAACTCTTTAGTGTTGTTTTAAAGACCAAGTTCACTTGTTTTTTCAACACCTTTGCTCTGGTCTCTAGTATAAATGGATGCCTTGTGAGCTCGTCTCTGTGGGAAAAATGTTGAGTGACTCCGAATGACCGGCCATATTCCAAAAATGACAAGTACAAAACGGTTTCTCAGTGAACTTGGTCTTTAGGCTTGATGGCATCACACTCACTGAGACATCATGGTCATGGCACATTCGATGGGCGTCATCAGCCTGCGGATGACATCTTCAGTGAGGAGCTCGGGACAGTGAGCCACAAAGCTACGCATGGCTGCAGAGGAGAGGGAAGCTTAGAGAGAACTCCTGCTGAGATTCCAGATCAGATTCATAAAGGAGGAGCGATTATTTACCACACAGAGCTCCAGCTCGACCCTCCAGGGTGACCTGCCAGGTGAAGGAGTCCCCTCTGGCCTTTTCAGCCTCCAGCTCCTTCTGGGAGCGAGGAAACACGTTCCTCCACAGCAGCAGCATTTTGGGGAGATGGTAGCGAACGAGTGAGGACCCTGAAGACAAAAATCAACACAGTGATGTGGAAACCTCAGGGGTGAGAGGAGGAGCGAGCCAGACTCACCTAAAGTCATGAGGGCTCCGAGCAGCAGCCAGCCGGCCTGAGTGCGCTGCAGCGACAGCCGACTATTCTGCGCTGCTGTACGCAGAAGATCTTCAGCTATACTCACCACCAACTACAGGAGCCAAGCGCACACGCAACAATCACCCTTCAGCTCTTTGTCCAGAAACACAAACAGAACAAAGGATGCACACCTTGCCCTTGGAGTGAGGGATTCCCAGTGGGCACTGGTGTACTCCCCCCAGCAGAGCCGCCATCGCGAAGCTGTAGCCGCTCACGGCTTCGGGTGAGCTCTTCAGGTTGTCGATTCTCTCTGCACAGCGGTCCAGCAGAGGGGACAGCTGATAGGGCAGAGCCACGGCGACACAGCGCAGACACCACGCAGCTGCCAAGCGTGCCGCCATGCTCGGGTGCAGCAGCACTGAGGTCACGGTCTCAAGAAGTCCTGAAACGGGGATGCAATAGATGAATATATGGTTGCAAATCAGAGCCGCTTTTCAAATTCAGGGTTTCTGACCAACAGAAGGCTCCTGGATGAGCGGGGACGCGGTGGTGCTCAGGCTCTGAACCAAACTCCCCAGCTCTTTCAGAGCACACACCATGACATGCTGACTGGCAGAAACGTCGGCGCCCCCCGCCTTGTTCTCGCCACTCATGTCGTTCACAACAGCCTCTGGGGAAAGAGAACAGACCAAGGAATTCGTTAATCATCTAAAATCACGACATGAATGATTTAATGATCGAGAACATCTGCAGCAATGATGGTTAAGTGGCTCAAAAGTGGGCAACTGACCACAGTAGCCAGCTGACCAACAGAATTACCGGTTTGTGCACACCTACAGATATCCTTAGAAACATCTGAAACACTGACACATTATTTCATTTTAAAAAGACGTGATCCATTTTTAGATTTTCCCCATGACTGAAAATAAATTATAAATGAGGTCAGGAACCCCTTTTAGGGCAACGGCAGGTTTCGGGAGGTGGACGTTGGAGGAGTGGAGTCAGGATTATGAGTCTCACTCATACGTCTCATCTCTGATTGGCTAACAGAAACGTGACTCTTCTGCTGCCTGCGTTCGCTCTACTTTTTTGGGTAAAATACAACGTTTCATCTCCACAAATAACACAAGCCCAACGTGTTCCGCCATGCAGTACAGATGCTAATGCTAATGGTTAGCTTCTAATTTCCGAGATGATTGAAGAACATTTTTATGTTCTGCATGAAAAAGCAGCTCAGAATTACTGACAGCATTTCAAAAAGGACAATCATTACACGATTCACCACTGAACACGTCTTCTAGCTACTGCTGGATTATGGTTAATCCTGATGGAACAAGTGTCAGTGTCCAAATATTCTGAGCGTAACTGTAAGCGCTAAACTTCAGAGCTCTGAGGGTTTCTTTCATAAAACACACAGTTAACAAATTTGGCCAAATAGGAAAAGAAAACCATAAATGTAAAGAGAAATCCCCGGAGCTCTAAAAGGAAATAGTCAGGATAGATCACACGTAAGAAAAGTTAATCAATAAATTATTTCTCAAAGAACAGATTTGAAGCTGCTTCTTGGACTGTGGTAGTTTTGGGGTTTTGGAGACAATTGTAGATCTGTTTCTAACAGACAAACCTAACTCCAGAATGGCTCCATGTTTACCATTTCTGTTGGATTCAACAACAAATCAATTCAATCCGAGTCTCACAGTTCAGCTGTTTGGAAAAGCGTCGGTGGCGAGTGCAGAGTGAGCAGGTCAGGATCACGTTTGGGACGCCAAATTCTGTCTGAGCATCAGGAGGAACAAAATAATGTCTTCCAAGACGGTTTTCATCAGTTTAAAGGTTGCAAAGCAGATCAGAGTAAGAATCATCCTTTTAAAATGTGGTAACGGTCCTTTAGGAAGTTTAAAAAAGTTAAAAATGCATGGTTCCGTGTTGCAGAGGGGGAAACACGCTTGTTACGTGTCTGTAAATGTAGAAGCACATGCAAGGTAACCACATGATGATATGCAATAATGGATGAGTTAAATATTCATAAGGGGCGTTAAAGATGGATGATGTCATTGACGTGATGTTGCTTGTGGTTGAAACGAGATGTAAAAGGAGGCAAAGACAGGAAGTGAGATAGAAAAGCCAAATCCAGAGAAACCTTTTGCCATTTTTCAGAAGAGAAAAGACCCAAACACCCAACTCTGCACACAATTAAAGCACAAAGCATGCAGTGATTTCAGAAACTGGATGAAGGGAGACTTAAAGCTGGTAATGATGGATGAGTACTTACTCTGTAATGCTCTGAACCGTGATATTTCCCCCCCATCCTCCTTACCCACAGCCCTCATTTGCTTGCTGATGGCTTGGCAGATTTCTTTGCCGGCGGCGATTTGGGCTTTCTCTCCGAGTAAACCCCCCAGGGTGGCGCGCAGCATAAAGGAAACACAGCGGCGCGAGTACACAGCCTCCACGTGTGTCTGAGTGGCGCGGGGGTGAGACACCAAGTCCAGAACGTGGGACAAAAACGTGGCAAAGTTGCGCTCGAGCCACTGGCCGCCAAGTGTTGTGACAAACACGACGTAGGCCTGAACAGGAGGAAACAGGAATGTGTTGAGTCAGCAAATGCAATCCTACAAGGTGAGCTTATTTTAATACATCTGAGAAAACATCTCACCTGTGTGACACCCACTCGCACCTCCCTGTTCACTGATCCTCCCCCCTTTAGCATCTCCCCACCGCTCTTTAGGAAGCCAGATCCACCACGAAGAAACCCGGTGGCCATCAGCTCCAGCACCTCGTCCAGGGTGGCTCGCTTTACATTCTGACGCATCACTGAGACAAAACATATAATAAAAAGCTTGAAATCATGAGGGAAAGCTGGTGCTTTGACTTGTTTTAAGTCCCCCAGATTGCCTACCTGCTGCTTGCTTGGGCATGAGGGCGGTGGCCATGACCGTGCCTAAGAGTTTGGCCACTGCTACTCGAACACCATAGTTAGACCCTTCTAAGGCTTTGAAACACAAAGTGGCCATGTTCTCCAGTTCTGTAGTCCACATGAATACCGCCTCATTCTGCAGCTCCAACAGGCACTGATTGGGTAAGAGAAAATAAATAAATAAATAAATAAAGTTATCTATCCATCTAGATCTAAAACAAGTGGGTTTGTTTAAAAGGTGCAACATGTAAGAATGAAGCAAGAATGACATCTTGTGGTCAAATGTGGTCACTGCAGCACATTTTCTAAACAAAATATGGTAAATGGCCTGTATTAGATAAAGTACCTGCTAGAGTCCTGGAACACGTACGTATTATGACAGTATGGTTTGGCGTTAGACGAGTCCGCCGTGTTGCTGTTATAGTTCTGAACGACTCATTAAAGGAAGTAAAACACCACAGCTGACTCGTTATTCACTTCAAACAAACATTTCACTGTAACATTCAGTTGTTGGTAATGGAAAAAGTAGCTTGATATTTTTAGAGCTGACAATTTGCTTCCAATTCACCGTAAGCTCAACGTTAGCCTCTAGCCTGCTTCACCGAACATTAAAAGTAAAGCAAAAAGATGCAGTGGTGTGTCTTAAGGTTGGTTTATGCTTGACGCGTCCGCGAGGTCCGCACGGCTCCGCGCGGAAAAGTTGCGTCATTTTGCGTCATTTTAACAACACGCCCCTCCACCGTGTCTCCGCACGGCCCAAGATTTCCGCAACGCGCACCTCGGAAAATTTCTAACCACGCGGACGGTCGGACGCGGAAAAACATGGCGGACCGGCACGGCAGAGGTTGGTAAATACAGACATTTGTATGATTCGGCTCTCAGAGATCACCGTGATCAACATGTTGTTAATAATTCTTGGAGAGAAATAGCTCGCACTGTCGGAAAAGACGAGGACGCTGTTAAAAATGCTGGAATGCCGTGTTGTAAACAGTAATTTTTACTTCTACTATGGTGTAGTGTTGGATGCATGCCGTAGAGCTCCATGCTGCCCCCTACAGTTTGGGAGAATATTGGCTCACCGCAGAGACGAGCCGCACAAACCATAAAAGCTGCGAGTTGTGAAGCGCGTTCAAGCCGCGAGCCGCATCACCGCGCGGAAAGTGAATGCGTCAAGCATAAACCAAGCTTTAGGGGCACAAGAAATAACTTCTGGGCCGCTCCCGTTTACAGGCTTCCTATCTTTGAACAATTGTTTGTCTGCTGATATTTAATTACAAATGTCGGTACTGCAGCGTTGCCTTGGCAACCCCATGGGCTCACGGATTGCAAATACATTTTTTGAAAGTAGAAAAATTGACCCCCCCCCCCCCCCCCCCCAGCCGGCTGAGAATAAAATCTGTTTCAGTTTCACTTCTTCTTCCAACACGACTGAGGCATTAGATCAATTTTTTCCCTGTAGAATTCTTACATATTGCTCCTTTAACTACATTTACTCCTTCATATCCTAAATCATTCGTGTTTATCTGGAACCAACCTTAGCTACTGCACAGCGTACAGCCATCGATCGGTCTGTGAGTAGAGAACGGGCGTTCTTGTAGATGTCTCGGTGACATGAAGCCGCAGCTCCACCCAGTCCACTCAGCACCTTCTGCAAGCTGAGGAGAATCTCTCCTCTTCCCTGGGACTACATCCGAAAAGTCCGGTATGAAATATAACCAATAAAATTGATTTCAAATGTTTAAAAAAATCATTCAATTTGCAGATAAGAGCTGGTGTATTCACACACACACACCAAAAGCCATACCTCTGCACTTTTTAGAGCCTTCATGAGATTATTGATAGTGTCTGGGAAAGAGCTCCCCAGCATCCTGCCCATCTTCTCATAAAATGCCCCGACACATGCCACAGCAGCGCTGCAGAAACGGGTAAATGTCAACTAATGCATTAACAAAACTCACAAAAATACAGGAAAAATACCTGAAAATGTAAAGAAGACGGTCTACTGCAGAGGTGCAACAACTGCATTATTTCATACACATAAAACAGACTAAATAATTGTTATGATGAGATAGATTTAACTTTTTCACTATTCACATTTTTATAGAAACGAGCAGGAATGTCTGGCTAACTGATTAAACCCAGCAGGAGAGCAGTGATGTTGCTTCATCAACAGATTCCACTAATAACAGAAAACACTTGTAAACTTAATCCTCCCTTTTAAACATGAAATGCAGATTAATGTGCAGCTAATACCCTAGAAAAATGGACCATGTGTGCTACATTTCAAAAAGCATTACTGAATATTTTGTACCTTAATGTGAGAATTTATTGGTTCAGACAGAAATAGAAAATGTAGATTTGCTGTATAGAGAGAGAAATCTTACAGTTTTGTTGGCAAATATGCAGGCGTATCATCCTTGCTTTTAATTATGTCGTTACATTTGTCCAGAGTCTGGAAAACAGTGAAGGTGTCACCGATGCTGTAGAGAGTAGCAAGGTTTTTAGCCAAGAGTTTTCTGGTTGGAGGTCCAGGGGCACTGCTGATCAGTCCTGTCAGTTGTTCGACCAGCTTCTTCTGCTTCTCCTTCACATCCACCTGCCATTCCAGCACAAAATAAAGTCACACCACGGCTCTCACAAGGCAGATTCTCACCAAACACCAAAGCTTGATTAATCACCTTGTTCGCTGCCACAAGCACTTTATCCAGGAAGCGAAGCCATTCGAAGATGAAGACGGGTCTTTTCGCTTCGGTGATCTGAGCCAGAGCGTCCTCGTTGAGCAGCAGACTGTGAGCCAGCTCCATGGCGTTGGATCTTTAAACACCTCCGGCTCTGCGAGGTTAAACCAGAAAGTGAATCCTGTCGTTAAATTATCTTATCAAGTAAACGCCCTGACCGGATAGCTTCTAGCTTAGGCACAGAAGATCCGAGGCATTTGTCAAAGCTTGAAAAGTATTACCAGACGCACAGACCTAGTTATATGTCGGATACAGTTCAGAAAAGTAAAATGTCAAAGCTGTGTGACATTAACGCTCCGTTGTTTTGAGTTGATAGCCTTCAACCTCCAGCTGTTCATTTAGCAACCGCAGCTAGCCAGTCGCTAAGAGGAACAAGCTAAAGTCTCGCGACACAAAAGCGAGGCGTTAGCTTTGGATCATCGTTTGTTACAACTCTCGTTTATTTTATTAAAAAAACATTTCGGCAATGTTATTCTCTAAATATTTGGTATATAAAGAAAGAAATTCCTCACACTACCTGCGCCTGTGCTTCAATAATCGAGTGACGTCAAGGATCAGCAGTGTCTCAATGAAATATGTCCGACTTGAGCGGAACGGAAGCGCTTCGCTAAAATATTTAAATTACAAATTCATTGCCATGTCAAAGGTTTAAATCATAAATGTGTGTTGTTTTTAAATTAATTTCTTTCAAATTAGTGTCAAACACAGAGGAACGTCTATTCTGTTCCCAAAATACTTCCTACACAAATCTAAGTGCCTTACTCTTTGATGACCATTAAAATAACCTTTAAAATACGCATCGTGAACAACAATTGTATAATATGTTTAATGAGATAATTATTGTATGCTTTTTCATTTCAGGTAATTAATAAAAAAAAAAAGTTCACAGTTTTTCGGAACTAAGTTTGCTTTGTGGCCTGTCGGAATTTTTATGTAAACGAACCAAACACAAGCGGAGCGAAATTTTTCGTCGAAGATTCGTTTTAAACTGTTGGATTTTTTCCCCTATATTTGTTCACTTTGTGTGCTCATAATGTCTGATGAAGAAGACGACTATATGTCTGATGCATTCCTTAATAAAATGTATGTTTATTTATTTTACTGAAACACAAAAAACGATTGTTTATGAAGGTGAGAATGTTATTGATTTCACAGTAAATTTTCTTTATTTCCTTCCTACAGCGAAGACGTGAAGCCGGGAGTAAGCATGGTGAGGAGGGTAAAGGAAGCATTTAAAAAGGAAGCAAAGCATAAAGAGTTAAATATTCAGAATCGTCAGAAGACCTACAAGGAGCAGGAAAAAGAGAGTCGGGAGGCAGCTTTACAGACTTCCATCAGCAGTCAGAACAAGGGGTTTGCACTTCTTCAAAAGATGGGTTACAAATCTGGCGATGGTCTTGGAAAGCAGAGTACCGGTAAGTTCATTTTTTACTAAATAATCCTCACTTTATTTCATTTTAATTTGAATAATAATCAGTGCTAATGTGTGGTGCCTCTACTGGTGCAGGGAGGATTGAACCAATCCCACTAAATATAAAAACAGGTAGGCTTTTCGTTACTTTTTCATATTTAAAAAAATTCAAGAGAAGTGTTTAGTGAATTATTTTTGCTAATTCGTTAGACCGAGGAGGGTTTGGAATGGAGGAGCAGAAGAAAAGAAAAGCCGAAGAGGAACTACACCATTATCGACAGAAAGTACGAGCCCGACAACAGAACGAGGCCAAGTCTCTGGAGGATTTTAGGTGATGTTTGCAGCAGCCTCTCAGATTGGCACTGTCACAATGTCTCCAATTACATGTTTTGTTGTCTGGTTGAAATCATTTTTATTTCAGGTCGAGGGTAAGGACAGAGAGGGAGGAGCGAAAGATTGAGGCCGACCTGAGAAGGAGTCAGAGATCTTGCGAGCAGCTCGACAGTCAGAAGGTTAGAAACGTTTTGGGTGTTAAAACTTGTCATCTCCTTTTAATTTGAATTTGAGTATAAAATGATGTTAAGGGTTCTGTGTGTTTGTTTTTTACATCTGATGCATCTTTTGTGTGTCAGGGGATAACTATTCCACGAGAGGCCTGGTACTGGCCTAAAGATAACACTGAGAATGAGGAGCAGGAGGAAGAAGAAGATAAAGAAGAGGATGAGGAAGAGGAAATCGTTGAATTAACTGTTAGTATTCACTATAGGCTATGTATTTCACAGTACTATAAGAAGTCACCATTAACTTATTTGTTACTTGCAAGTATGATTTAGAGCACAGTTAAAATATAGTTATAATAAAGTAGTTCACACTCCCTGGGCTGCCACCTTACCGTGGTGGAGGGGTTTGAGTGTCTCAGTGACCCTAGGAGCTAAGTTGTCTGAGGCTTTCTGCCTCTGGTAGGGTCACCCATGGCAAACAGGTCCTAGGTGAGGGATCAGACAAAGAGCAGCCCGAAGACCTCTTATGATGAATTATATAAATGCAAACCGTGTTCCCTCGCCCGGACGTGGGTCACCGGGTGCCCCCCTCTGGAGCCAGGCCTGGAGGTGGGGCACGTTGGCGAGCGCCTGGTGGCCGGGCTTTCACCCATGGAGCCCGGCTGGGCACAGCTCGAAGAGGAAATGTGGGTCCCCCTTCCCATGGACTCACCACTCGTGGGAGGGGCCAAAGGGGTCAGGTGCAGTGTGTGACGGGTGGTAGTCGAGGGCGGGGACCTTGGCGGTCTGATCCTCGGCTACAGAAGCTGGCTCTTGGCACATGGAATGTCACCTCTCTGGTGGGGGAGGAGCCTGAGTTGGTGTGTGAGGTTGAGAGGTTCCAACTAGAGATTGTCAGACTCACCTCAACGCATGGCTCTGGCTCTGGTACCAGTTTCCTTGAGAGGGGTTGGACTTTCTACCACTCTGGAGTTGCTCCCACTGAGAGGCGCCGAGCAGGGGTGGGCATACTAGTTGCCCCCCATCTTGGTGCCTGTACGTTGGGGTTTACCCCAGCGAATGAGACGGTAGCCTCCCTCCGCCTACATGTGGGGGGACGGGTTCTGACTGGTCTGTGCTTATGCACCAAACTACAGTTCAGACTACCCACCCTTTTTGGAGACCTTGGAGGGGGTGCTGGAAAGCGCTCCTTCCGGTGACTCCCTCGTTCTGCTGGGGGACTTTAACGCTCACGTGGGCAACGACAGTGAGACCTGGAGAGGTGTGGTTGGGAGGAATGGCCCCCCCGATCTGAATTCGAGTCGTGTTTTGTTATTGGACTTCTGTACCAGTCATGGATTGTCCATAATGAACACCGTGTTCAGACATAAAGGTATCCATATGTGCTCTTGGCACCAGGATACCTTAGGCCGCAGCTCAATGATCGACTTTGTTGTTGTTTCATCTGACCTGCGGCCGCATGTCTTGGACACTCGGGTGAAGAGAGGGGCGGAGCTGTCAAGTGACCACTACCTGGTGGTGAGTTGGCTCAGATGGTGCGTTACCAACACTATCTATAGTGGGGATGGTGTGCTGCTGACCTCTACTCAGGACGTTGTGGATCGGTGGGCATTAGGGCTGTCGCGGTTGAGGAATTCCCCCTGCGGTGATTCAGGGTGGCTTAATATTGCGGTGTGTGATATTATTGCAGCACTTTTTTATTGCAGTACTATCTAAACATAATGTTTACACATTTAAAAAAGGTTAAAAATTGCCGTGCCTTCTTTTATAACACTTTACTGAATGCAGATTAAAGGGCAGTAACAACACAGATCGCAGTAACGTTTGTTTCTCCGACAGTCGGAGTCCGACTGAACTTAAAAATAACAACATTCAGGAGAAGGTTAAACTTTTAAATGCAAATTTGGCTGCAGCATCTAACAAATAAGAAACAAGTCCCCATTTTTTTTAGTTGTTTAAAATCAAGCATAAAAAATTACATGTACCGGGCGCGCGCGCGCCGGGGGGCGGGGCACTATCACTTTCACTTTCACACACACGAATGACGGTGCTTTATAGCTCGGTCACGTCCTTGTTACCCACAAGGAAAACCAGCATGTTAACCATATACGGTTTGAGAGAGGATCTGAGAGGGGTGGCAACATTTGCAGCAACACTGAAAACCTTCTCGGATGGTGCGCTCGTTGCACTAACACACACGTACCTGCGTGCGACTCTGGCGAGCAAAGGGAATCTCTCCCGGTTGTTGCTCCACCATGTCAGGGGGGGTTCTTTAGGGTGGATGCATTCCTCCTGCAGGTAGCGAGTGAGCTCCAGCTCGGCTCAAACTCTCTTCGGGACGGTTGCAGAAGCAGTGCTTGTCCGGGACTTCAGCAGGTCTCCGAGCGTTTATTATTATTTATTTGCCGCTGGTGGCAGCTCTGTCTCGGCCAAGGACCCTGGCTGAGCAGCAGCTGACGTACTGAAAACCAAAGTGCTCCCAAAGGAGCGAAGTAACGTTTCGTTTTGATACCAGTGCAGCCGTCCTTCTCAACATGCATCATTGAGTTGAATCAAGTTCAGTAATCGCGGTGGCGTATGATGCAGCGCGGTGGGCTTCTTCATATTGCGATATTTCATTTTTGCGGTTACCGCGACAGCCCTAGTGGGCAGAATACTTCAAAGACTTCCTCAATCCCACCGACACGTCTTCCAGTGAGGAAGCAGAGTCTGGGGACTTTGGGCTGGCCTCTCAAGTCTCTGGTGCTGAGAAGAAGAAGAAGAAAATATCATTTCTATAGCGCCTCTCAAGATAAAAATCACGAGTCTTGAGGTCTGAGGTGGTTAAAAAGCTCCTCTGTGGCAAGGCTCCAGGGGTGGATGAGATCCGCCCGGAGTTCCTTAAGGCTCTGGATGTTGTTGGGCTGTGTTGGCTGACGCGGCTCTGCAATATCGCGTGGACATCGGGGCAGTCCCACTGGACTGGCAGACCAGGGTGGTGGTCCCCTTATTTAAAAAGAGGGACCGCAGGGTGTGTTCCAGCTACAGGGGGATCACACTCCTGAGCCTTGCTGGTAAGGTCTATTCAGGGGTTCTGGAGAGGAGGGTCCATCGGATTGTTGAACCTCAGATTCAGGAGGAGCAATGTGGTTTTGGTCCTGGCCGTGGAACACTGGACCAGCTCTAGACCCTTAGGGGGATCCTGGAGGGTGCGTGGGAATTTGCCCAACCAGTCTACATGTGTTTTGTGGATTTGGAGAAGGCGTTTGACCGCGTCCCTCGGGGGGCCCTGTGGGGGGTACTCCGGGAGTATGGGGTACCAGGCCCTCTGATATGGGCTGTTAGGACCCTGTATGACCGGTGTCAGAGCTTGGTCCGCATTGCCGGCAGTAAGTCGGGCTCGTTCCCAGTGAGAGTTGGACTCTGCCAAGGCTGCCCTTTGTCACCGATTCTGTTCATAACCTTTATGGACAGAATTTCTAGGTGCAGCCAAGGTGTGGAGGGCATCCGTTTTGGTGGCCTGAGGATCAGGTCTCTGCTTTTTGCAGATGATGTGGTCCTGTTGGCTTCATCAAAACGTGATCTTCAGCTTTCGCTGGAGCGGTTCGCAGCCGAGTGTGAAGCAGCTGGGATGAGAATCAGCTCCTCTAAATCTGAGACCATGGTCTTGATTCGGAAAAGGGTAGAATGCCTTCTCCGGGTCAGGGATGAGGTCCTGCCCCAAGTGGAGGAGTTTAAGTATCTTGGGGTCTTGTTCACGAGTGAGGGAAAACTGGAGCGTGAGATCGATAGGTGGATCGGTGCTGCATCTGCAGTGATGCGGACGTTGTACCGGTCTGTCGTGGTGAAGAGAGAGCTGAGTCAGAAGGCGAAGCTCTCGATTTACCGGTCGATCTACGTTCCTACCCTCACCTATGGTCACGAGCTTTGGGTAGTGACCGAAAGAACGAGATCGCGGATACAAGCGACCAAAATGAGTTTTCTCTGAAGAGTGGCCGGGCTCTCCCTTAGAGATAGGGTGAGAAGCTCGGTCATCTGGGAGGGGCTCGGAGTAGACCCGCTGCTCCTCCACATCGAGAGGAGCCAGTTGAGGTGGCTCGGGCATCTGGTCAGGATGCCTCCCTGGTGAGGTTTTCCGGGCACGTCCAACTGGGAGGAGGCCTAAAGGTAGACCAGGACACGCTGGAGGGACTGTGTCTCTCACCCGGCCAGGGAACACCTTGGGATTCCCCCGGAGGAGCTGGCCCAAGTGGCTGGGGAGAGGGAAGTCTGGGCCTCTCGCCTTAGGCTACTGCCCTCGCGACCCGACTCCGGATAAGCGGATGAAAATGGATGGATGGATAGTTGACAATAATAATCAGTTGAATTTGCTGTCACCCATTCTTTCAGCCTTTTGATAAACTGCAAATCATAACATCTTATTTGAGAGGAGTCCATTTTTACTGCCTGTGGTGTGGGACAACCTATAATGGTAAGAATGATGAGATTCATTCATTTTCATGTCTATTTAAGAGTTACTTGTTGTATTTTTTTACATAATTTTTATATTTTGCAGATGAAGACGATCTATGCTCTAACTGTCCAGGAGACACAGCTGCAGACCACGAATAATTTGACGATAATTGGTAGTTTACATAAGTTGCTGTTCTAATATGAGCCGAAGGCTGAGGAATAATGTATAAATGTTTGTGAATTTGGCTCTTCTGAGTAAGTTTAAATATGCGATGTATCACTAAATAGTGTCCATTTTTGTGTTTCTTAGTGAGAGCTTGTGTTTTACTTTGTGGTTAATAATGTAAATAACTGGAAAATTGTTACAAAGCATCTGTATTTTTATTAAAGGTTTCAGAACGATCTCTTTTTGATTTCATGTAACTAATACAGGAAAAAAATGTTTCCTTTGAATATGAGTTATTTGAATAAGAGTTCAAATTTATATTTCTGTGTTTATCGCTGAAATTTTGTGGGTCACTTAGTTAATTTTCATAACTGTATCCATGTTGCCTCATGTGGATTGACTTAAAAATTATTGATCTCTTCAGCATTGTAATCAACAACCATCTCAGTATTATTTAGCTTGATTACTCCATTTTAGAAGTTTGTATCTTCCTGGAACGAAGGAGTTGGCGTTTTTTATTGTTTTTGTAATTAATCAGCTTTCTTACTTAGACCCATGGGTGTAATTTTGAGGGGGACATGTCTCCCCCACAGTTTTTCCAAAGTAAAGTTTTGTCCCCTGCACTTTTTACTGTCCAAAAACAATATGATGCTATATTAAAGACACTGGTTGAGCACTAGGACCAAGCAGAAAACAACCACCTGTGGTTGAAACCTGTTTCCCATTAGAACCGCTCACCTATTGGCTCTGCTGATACTACTAATGTGTGATTGGCCAGTCCAGCTGTAACTCCATGTTAACAGGATGTGCTCACTTTTCTGCATGAACCTCTGCATTCCTGACATTGCATAAAACAGCCTCTAGGCTGTAGTTTTATACACAGTTTTTGTAATCTAAGGACCAATCCCAATACTCACACTGCACCCTGCGGCCTTCAGCAAAGTGCCCTTGAGAGAGTGAGCAGTAAGGCTTCAAGTGTGTGGTACACAAGTGTGCAAATAACTGCTGAATTGAGGCAGGGAGCATTGCCTCCTCGATCGCAAAGCATGCTGGGATGCTGGTCACTGTGATACATTTAAAAAAAACTTTCAATTATTTGAAATAAATTTACATTCATTGCTGCATTGTCTAAAAGTTTTAGAGCTTCAACTAATGATCCTACTACTTTCATTAGAAAATGCATATGTTCAGAAAAGGAACTTGAGCCTGTTGTCCTGCAGAAATGGATTGTGTGTGATACACTTCAGCCAAGTCCGAATCGATGCAGACTTGGGTGAGGTGCGGATCAAGGGCGCAAAAGGGGCGTGATCAACATCGCACCTGAGAATCTGAACACCCTACGGACTCGCACCCCTGGTCAGGATCGCACAATTGAAGGGCGCAAGTGTGGAAGTGAGTATTGGGACTGGGCCTTACTGTGAAAATCGTCTTCCTCTCCCCAGTCCTCATGCCAATTGTGTCCCCCCACTTCTAAAGTCAAAACTACCAACTCTCTTGTTCAAGCTGGCTTTTGCGTGACCTTCATCACCACCCTCTCCTTTTTCTGTTCTTATTCTGCCTTTCCCGGGATCCATTGATTTCCCTCTTTCCTGCTCATTTTTTCTCTCCCTTTCCATACCTTTTTTGTTCTTTTTTTCCTTTTAAACATATTTGTAATCTTTTTAAACATCTTTTTATACTATAAAGCAGTTAAGCTCTAGCCTAGTGAACTAGGCATGCTCCATTGGAACCTCCGCAGCTCCTACCAAGATTCTGGCTGGCCAATCACAGCTCTCTAGAGGGGTTTCAAACACATAAAGAGCTGTGATTGGTCCATAATGGTGGGCCAATCATAGTGCTCTATCTGCTTAGTGAACAAATCACAGAGCTTTATCCGCTTTGTGGGCCAATCAGGGTGCTCTGTATGCCTGGTGGGTGGGATGATGCAACAGAGTGAAACAAGAGTATGTCACATTCATTGTCCAGTGGAATGCGGAGATCATTTGAAAGACAACGGTAGAACCCGCCCCACAACCGAGAGCCGTCAATGGAGCGTTGCCAGGCTAGTTAAGCTCCCCATCAGTCTATGAACAGGTTTGGTGTTTTGGACCGAGTTTTGTTTTCCAGGCGACGTGTATGGCGCCAGATGGGTGCCAAAACCAAGCCCCCACAATGCGGGTGAAAATTTTAAGAAATCCCGGAAGTGAAATAAATTGCAGTTCCACCCTCATCCACTAGGGGCTGGTGTCAGAAGTGAGCAAATCCTCATTGACTCCCATGTTAAAAATACCAATTTCACAGCAGAAATAAACATGTTTACAGCCTGGTACCAGAACATGTTTTTGGTTTAAATGATCTAGTTTACACTCATGACAACTCTGAGGGGGGTGAATGTTTTTCTCACTCTTCTGTTTAAGTGTATTAAAAGCCTAAAATTCTGTATAATTAATGAGCATCAGACCCACGTGACCACAGAGCTAGCTCCGGGGAAAGGCCTCAGTAGAGCCTCGGTCTGGCCTGGAAACTGTTCCAGGATTTTGAGTCTCTGTGTTTGTGTATTCTTGTTTGGATATTTTTTGTGCAATTGTTGGACAAAATGACTTGCTGTGGCATTAATTGCACTAATAGAGCGTCCAAGGAGTCTCCACTTCATTGTTTTCGGTAAGAAAAATTATATTTATGTATTTTAGGTCACTGCCGAGCTGAGCTTAGATTTTAACATGTACTGTTTAACCATGAAATTTAAATGTAATAGGGTAAAACCCAGTGCATTTAACATAATGCTGCACTTTAGAAAATGGGTTGAAATATAACATGTTGGTGGAACTGGGTTCCCACTATCGGCTTGTGGAGCTCTCGGGAGACCGATGTTTTCCACTCGTTCTCCCCTCCCCGCAGCTCGACGCATCTCTGTCTGATCGCGGCTCCTGACTGCTGCGCGGGCTGACAGCTTGTGGAGCTCTGGGATGGAAACCTTTCCACCCGGTTCTCCCCAGCGGCAGCTCGGTGCATCTCAGATCGCAGCGGCACTTGTCTGCTGCGGCGGGCTGCCGGCTTGTGGAGCTCTCTGAGACCTCTGTGTTCCACCCGGTTTTACCCAGCGGTCAGCCCGGCGTATCTCTGACTCAGAAGCTCTGGTGTTGTGCACAGTTAACTCCGGTTGTAGCTAGGTTGCTACCTCCATTAGCTTAGCTCTCACCTCCACGTTATCTTTGGTTTAGCTTCAGGTTAGCTTGTAGCTAGTTCGACCGGGTGTCGTCAGTCGATCCCAGCCTTACAGCCCCACCCTCAGCTCCACCTCTCTTCCCTTTTATGGAGGGTTAGGGTTAGGGTTAGGGTTACGGAACCTGTAACACGGTCAAAATGGCGGTGGTGGCTACCTCCCATTTTTCTTCAAAAATGTGTTATTGGAGCCTGTGGAAACCCATTGTCCAATATTTATATGTCGATGGCCACCCATCTGACGCCATAGAGGCGCTGCTCAACTCGAACAAGGCCAATATCTTTCCTCCATCCGAGATTCTTCTAATAAAAAAGCCTTAAAAACCTTAGCTGAGTGGTCTATATTTAATTTATGAATCATTCGTGGTAAAATATTATCTAAAGCAATGTAGAGGTATGGGTTTTCTGTTTAAACTATTTGGTCTATTGAACTGTTAACTTTCCCCCTACTGTGTGTGTTCATGTTATTCTTCCTGTTCTTTTTTATTTTTGTTTGCTTATTGTTCACTCGATGTGTTTCAATGACCATTTTATTTTGAACTATGCTTTACATGTCACTCACTGTTTTATACAATTTTGTTGATGTTACTATTTTATCAATAAAGATGAGTGAAAAAAAAAGATTTTTATCTTGAGAGGTGCTATGTAAAAGATCGTCGTCTTCTACATTTCTTTTTTCTAATTAAATTAACTTAATGCATAAAACACTTCCATGGACGCCTATCACTCTGATCTTTTTGTTCATAAATCTGTAGAACATGTTCAGTATGAGAAAACAAACTGTTACAACAATTTACCGCTAAAAAGACTGCTATTATGAGCCTTGGCGAAACGTGACGTTTCTAAAATTTGATTATTATCTCAAGTAATTCTCAAGTTTGTTCCTTGTTTCAGTTGTAACCAAGTCAAACTCTCGGGCAACTTGCTTTGTTTTACAGTCTAGTCACAACACTTTATAATTCAGTACATTTCCTCGATGGCTGACATTTCCGAGTTTATTTTAACGCATCCGTAGAAACCGAAACTAACGGAGGGGACGACGTGGGAAGTGGCGCGATGAAAACGGAAGCGCGGCTTTCGTGTGTAGTCGTCACGTTTTTAGCTTGTTTTACATTAACCTGAGAGGGAATTCCTGCTTATTCACGATGGAATCGGTAAACTACGTAGCCAAACTGAACGAGTACGCACACAAAGTGCGCGTAACGGTGAATTATGATGAAGTTGGCTCTATTGGTCCCGACCACATAAAAACGTGAGTTGAATAAACGGTTTGAATGTTTTTCTCTGTTTTAGGTAATTACGTAAAAGCTACATGGCTGTTAGACGATCTTTGGGTGGGACAGTGGTCCTAACGACATCATGAACGGCTACGGTTTGGTGTCGAGTCAAGGACCTCGAGGGCCACCATCCTGCACATTTTAGATGTTTTTTTCTGCTTGAACACACCTGGTTTTAATTAGGAGGTAATTAGCAGGCCCCCGCAGCTTGATGACCTGCTGAACAGGTCATGCAGCCACCGCATCAGGTACTGGTACTGGACAGGGGGTCAAAAAGATCAGAGCTAGACACCAATAATTCATGGCTTGACTTCCATGAAGAAAAAAAGTTTGGAATAAAGTAATAAAATGTACAAAAAAATTATAAAAGAAAATGGGGAACAGGTGGGGATGTTGCCCAGGTAAACTGCAAAAGTTATATTTCAGTTTGGAACATCATTTGGGGAAATCTCAGGAGAAAATAAGAGACAGAATACTTTAAAATGCATTTATTTGTTTTTGTGTAACTTTAGAAATTTAAAGGTCATAACCCCAAACCATCTTCACCTGTTTAGCTAGTATTTTTAGCTATTTAGTTGATCGTATTTTTATTAATTAGTGGATAAAATATTTGAATAGTCATTAGGCTGAAAATTTCGACACATACACAATTTGCATAGACATTTAAGAGAATTTGTCCGTTTTGCTGTGTTCCAGTGTAAAACCGACTATTAAATTTCTTTCAGAACAACCTCAGTTTGGAGAAATAGTGTTTATGTCCTATGAGCCTGATAGTAACAGCAGCAAAGTATCAAAATGCATTTCTGCATTGTTGAACAGCTCAGATTCTAATATCTGAAGTATATTCTTATGATTATACCTACACATGACATATTTACTTAAGCTGATTGCACACTGTGCTACCTTTTCACTTGTAGCTTCAGCTCCATCTCAACATGAACGACTTCCTCGCAGAGCAAAGGTAACGAGTCATGTTCTCAGAATGTACGACCCAATGCTCGGCGACTGACTGCTCACACTGGACGCGTGGTCAGACCTAAAAATAGTTTTTACATGTTGGATCTTCGAGTCTAAAAACCCAGAACACTCTGAAATTGTTGTGTTGTTATTGATGTTTGTTGTCCTTCAGGCTTGCCGTAGTTGTAGGGGTTTATGGGAGTTGGAGGAGGAAGACGAATTAAAGGAAGTAAAATATTGGCCATGTTCGAGATGAGCCAGTTCTGCGCAGATTAGATCAGCGGTGATCGGCGAGCAGTGCATGCCAGTTAGATTTGTGTCTGACTTGACGCCGACTTGCTCTGACGTTGGGCTGCACTACAGGGTCCGAAATTAACACTCGCCACTCGCCAAATGCGAGTAAATTGCTCCATTTGGCGAGTAAATGTTTGAGCTCTACCTGCCACCTGGCGAGTAAATGTTTGCACCAAATTAGTTATGTTTATCAGTCATCTTCCACGGATTTCTGATACTCCTCCCGCCTGCATGCAATGTACACAAACGTACGCGAAACGTGAACGCCGCATCCAACGTCATTTCCACCTATCCTATTCAATCAGTTTATCAAGTTAGCGGTTAGCTTCGTGTTAAAACTAGCGGTGAAATGTGGCGGTTTTTAACTGGAGTCAGCCAGCCTTCCAAAAGAAAACTCGTCGAACTGGAAGAAAAACCACCAGGACCAGTGGCAACCAGAAGATTTTGTGAAAAGTGGCGAAATGGAGACGGCGGAGTCGTGAGACGGCCACGTAGCGTTGCTGCCTTTCACAGACAACTGGCCCTCGGCATTCTTCAAATATCCAAAAAAAAATGCCCGTACTTCCGACTTTGTCTTCTTTGAGGGATAATAAATGTCCCGAGTGCTGCCGCCTCCTCCTCTGGCCATTATTTCAGCTTTAGCTTAAAGAAAGTTTTGGTCGTAAACAACAAAGTGCGCATGTGCCGCCGGCAACTTCAGCAGATGATACGGTGGCTGGTAAGGGTCACCGCGCCTACACCGCAGCCACGGTAACCCACCGAGATAATTTTTTTTAAACAAGACGGTTATTATTATTGTCAACTATTTTACTGGGGTTTACCGCTACACCGGTTACCGTGACAACCCTAGCCCTGACATACTTTCAGATATTCTCATGGTGCAGCTGTGTTCTCCAGAGATCAAGGACTATGACCCAAATGAGGCTGTAAGGCTTTGGCACAAAGACGGTGTCAGAAGCAGGAGGCCAGACTTCATGGACAGAGAAAACAAGGAGTCTGACTAGATTTCAATGAAAGAGTTCATAAAAACATCTCTAAAAATAAATAAGTAAATGGTAAAAATGACAAAAGAGTTGTTTTCCTTATTAATTGATGTTTTAATTATTTTGTCACTCTGTTTGGAATCAGCATAATATAGAATAACATGCTTTAGGTAGATCTAAATCATTTAGAATTTTGGCCGGTAAAAAATATGCTTGGCCGGTAGATTTTCATCATCTACCAGCCAACTTGGCCGGTGAGTAAAAAATTTAATTTCGGACCCTGGCTGCACAATATATCGAAAAATTATCGTCATCGGGATAGGCCCATCGCAAAGCACGTCAAAAACGGCGATAAATGTTTGGTTCAACATTTCCATCCATGTCATACATCAACTTTTTGTAAACCAGCTCTGTTTTTTACGTGGAAGTATTATTTGACCAATCAAATGTAGCCCTTCTGATATGCGGCCAATCAGATGGGTCCGTTCATGTAATACACCCGCCCCCTACGTAGACCCTTAGGATGGAAAGCAACACCCGAACTGAGTTAGGGGCGCCGTTCCCTTGTTCGTCATGCTGGCTCAGATTAACGAACGCACTTTGTGCTGAGGTTTCTGGAATCAGCGCTGCTTTCAAACGTGAACGTGAGTCCGCTCGGTGTCGTTAACCATTTTTACCGGGCTGACTCCGACACGTGCCGGTGAACCAACCCACCTTCATGTTGCTGGTGTTCCACCGGGTGGTGATGTTAGCCACAGGCTCCGGTTAGCTTCCAGCTAAAAGGCTACAGCACTCTCCTCCCAGTCCCCCCCTGAGCTGCTACAGAGGGCCTGGAAAAGTTCCCCCACACATCAAAGTGATTTTTCATTTATGAGCTTTTATAACCTTGTTCATCAGGATAGTTGATTTGCTGCTGCACATAAACTGTCAGTCAGAAGCTCTGCTAGCCGGTTATCTTAGAGGAGCTAGTTCAGTTTGTTAGCTTGTTATCAGAATCATAGTTGCAGTTTCATCATCTGAGCTGCTTTTTAAGATCTAGGTAAACTTGTTCAATTTGGGGTTAAAAACAAACGTTTTCACATATTTTCCATGTAGTTTTTTGCCAGTTCCTCTTCTGAAAGGTAGACAATTGTATTTCTCTTTCCCTCAGAAAATCTTAATATTCTCCTAGTTTGGCCCAGCACAGTTCACTTCCCAGTTACAGCAACAGTCTTATATCATAACCACATAAGTGGAGAAAATGTTCAGTAGCAATTAGGGCTGTCGCGGTTGAGGAATTCCCCCTGCGGTGATTCAGGGTGGCTTAATATTGCGGTGTGCGATATTATTGCAGCACTTTTTTATTGCAGTACTATCTAAACATAATGTTTACACATTTAAAAAAGGTTAAAAATTGCCGTGCCTTCTTTTATAACACTTTACTGAATGCAGATCAAAGGGCAGTAACAACACAGATCGCAGTAACGTTTGTTTCTCCGACAGTCGGAGTCCGACTGAACTTAAAAATAACAAAATTCAGGAGAAGGTTAAACTTTTAAATGCAAATTTGGCTGCAGCATCTAACAAATAAGAAACAAGTCCCCATTTTGTTTAGTTGTTTAAAATCAAGCATAAAAAATTACATGTACCGGGCGCGTGCGCGCCGGGGGGCGGGCGCACTATCATTTCACTTTCACACACACGAATGACGGTGCTTTATAGCTCGGTCACGTCCTTGTTACCTACAAGGAAAACCAGCATGTTAACCATATACGGTTTGAGAGAGGATCTGAGAGGGGCGGCAACATTTGCAGCAACACTGAAAACCCTCTCGGATGGTGCACTCGTTGCACTAACGCACACGTACCTGCGTGCGACTCTGGCGAGCAAAGGGAATCTCTCCCGGTTGTTGCTCCACCATGTCAGGGGGGTTTCTTTAGGGTGGATGCACCCTCCTGCAGGTAGCGAGTGAGCTCCAGCTCGGCTCAAACTCTCTTCGGGACGGTTGCAGAAGCAGTGCTTGTCCGGGACTTCAGCAGGTCTCCGAGCATTTATTATTATTTATTTGCCGCTGGTGGCAGCTCTGTCTCGGCCAAGGACTCTGGCTGCGCAGCAGCTGACGTACTGAAAACCAAAGTGCTCCCAAAGGAGCGAAGTAACGTTTCGTTTTGATACCAGTGCAGCCATCCTTCTCAACATGCATCATTGAGTTGAATCAAGTTCAGTAATCGCGGTGGCCCATGATGCAGCGCGGTGGGTTTCTTCATATTGCGATATTTCATTTTTGCGGTTACCATGACAGCCCTAGTAGCAATGAGAGAATTTGCTGTTGCATTTAAGTGATGTTATTATCATTTAAACTTATTTTCAGATTTATTTATTTACTCTAAAAACCCTGGTAAGGGATGTTTTTCTGTATTTGGAGCATCAGAAAAAGTTTATGGTGGAGGTGATGTTTTAAAGTCACTGAGAAACTGCATGCATGCAGTTTGTTGTTTTGCTGCTAATACAGTAGCAGGTGCAGCTGCTAATACAGTAGCCGGTGTAGCTGCTAATACAGTAGCGGGTGCAGTTGCTAATACAGTAGCGGGTGCAGCTGCTAATACAGTAGCAGGTGCAGCTGCTAATACAGTAGCCGGTGTAGCTGCTAATACAGTAGCGGGTGCAGTTGCTAATACAGTAGCGGGTGCAGCTGCTAATACAGTAGCAGGTGCAGCTGCTAATACAGTAGCCGGTGTAGCTGCTAATACAGTAGCGGGTGC